ACAAAGACGAAACACAGGAACTCAATATTTGTTCCAAACTGGGTTAAGATTTAAACGAACTTTTTGACATCTGTTTTACTATAGTATAAAAAAAAATATCACCATTAAATGATAGAAATGTGTAATTCTAGTCAGTTAAGGCTCACTGTTGCTAAAGCTGAACATAAATTTACTTACAGATTTACCCCTAGCTGTTACCTGTAATTGAAAACTATTCATTGTGATGAACTGACATCTTGGTAAATCACTTTGTAATTACACATAACTAACTGAGGCAGTAACTACATCCAGACATGATGGAGAAAACAAAACCCGGCTAAACTCCTGCCAAAGCTAACTAACAATAGCTTAGCAGATCTCAGCAGCTGCCAGTTCAGCTTTTGACTCAGGATTTATGTGGTTCTGCTTCCTTTAAATCACTCATTTAAATGTATTAAATTGTAAATTAATGTTATTATTGATTTCAATATACATAGTAGACAGACATATGGATACATTTAATTCCTGTCGATGGTAAATAATATAAGTTTATTTTCTTCATTTAAAATTAAAGTGGACCAAAAAGCTGATGCTGATTCCGCAGCACTGCTCTCTGCCTTTGCAGGACAGAATAATCTTCCAAGAGGACTGAAGGTGAAGGTGAAATACAAGGTGAAGAATGTACTCAGGGATTTGCCCGATTCTCGTGGATGAAACTGATCCCAGGGGATGTTTAGTTCTCTATGCCCTAAATTTCTCTGTTCAACTCTTCTGCCAGCAACCAGCCTGCAGCAGATTTACCGAAACAAAAGACACACTCATCTACAACATAACAGTGTCCTTTTTTCTGCTGCTCTGTCTCTTTCTTACTATAGCTGCTTGATTGTTTTCTTCTGATTTGTGCTGAGCTGTAATATCCACGGATACTGTATCTCAGGTTAACTTTAGTTAATAGGAAATCCTGGATTTGTGTCGTATGATGCCTTAATCTAATTGCATGGAACTTGAAGCCAAAGATTAGGCATATTTATGAATATTCAACCACCGGCATATTTGGTTTTAGCTGTAAGCGAGGATTTGTATGTAATTAGATACTTCCCTGCAGAAAGAGAGAAAAAATTATACCCATGGGTTGTCAGACAAGCTGACCGATCACTGGCAACAGTGTGAAGAGTGTTGTGCCCACTGTCTACATATTTGACTGGTGGTTTGTGGCATGATGCCCTCAAACAGCATGCAGTGGATATGACATGCCTGATGGAACGCAAAGCCTGCAACTGAAACAGATCTGCGCTGACAGACAGACAGGTTACTGTACCCTTAGCAAGCCTGGCATTCCCGGGACACTGTGGCCCAGCAATGGCAAGAGCTTTCGTTTCCTCTGGAGTCTCAAGCATGAGCAGACACACGTACAAACACACACACACACACGTACAGATAGTGTGCCAAATTCCACAGAGCAGTAAAGGCAATCAGGGACAGATGAGAAAGGCAACCATGCGGTGGTAAACTGCATGCCGAGGGAGTGGGAGCTATAACAAGGTGCCACAACAGCACTCAAGGGAGTTTGTGTGCTTTATGTTAAAAGAGCACATTGAGTTTTGGGGGAATTTGCTTCACTTTCTTGCAGAGAATTTTCTGAAAAGATTGTCGCCTCTCTGATATCTGTCCGTTAGCAAATAGCCGGTAGGTTAGCTTGGCACAAAGAGTGGAAACACGGGCATGAAGCTAACCTTACTCTGTCCAAAGGTTAAAAAAAGCCCATCTAACAGCACCTCTAAGGCTATCACATGTTGAGTTAAACGTGAGTGAAACAATGACAAATTATGGTTTTACAGGGAATTATGTGCACGACTATATCTTGACCAGGCACAGTAACTTCCTTGGTGTTATCATTGTGACGTTGCCAGTGGAGGCTACATGAAATGACATTAATCAATTATTTAGTGAGCTTTAGAGGTGCTTTCAGGCTGGTAGGTTGTTTGTTACTTTAGGTGGCTGTTTTCCTCTGTTTCCAGTCTTTATGGTTAGTTAAGCTAAGTGTCACCTGGCGGCAGCTTCATATTCACATACAGCCAGACATGAGAGTGGTATCAGTTTTCTCATCTAAAGTCTTGGCAAGAAGGCGAATATGCCTATTTCCCAAAATGGCAAACTATCTCTTTAATCACCAAGTGTCAGCTCTGGAGATGTTTGCTTTGGGAGCTAAATCTGTTACAGTGGCTGCCTCTTTAATGCAAAAACAAGCTAGCTGGTGTCCCGTGAAGGGCATTTTCTCTAGCTGGTATCTGGCAAATTCCTGCCCTCTCTTTGAACACATGTGACAAGCAGCGCTTTGACTCTCAGGCCAAATATCACTGATCAAACGCCCCTGTTTGGTGTCAGCTAAGGGAAACAACAAACTTACTCATAAGGGGGGCACTGACCTGCTCCGAGTATGTTTAGTTAGAAAACCAACACATGTAGTACTGTACATACTAAGGGCCTATTTTGCACTTGTAAAGTCATACTTGTATGCTTGTGTGTTCATGCAGACTCAGACGGTAGTAGCTGGGCCTAGAAGCGTAAAGCAGTGTCACTGAGCGTCCAACATCCAGCCCATCATTGCATTCAAACAAAAGATCTCAGCTAAAAGACTGTCATTAGCTGCTGCCTCAACCCCTTATTTGTCTTCCCACACAGAAAAGTCCCTGTAAGATCGGTTGAGCAAACAACTGACAGATGCTATTTAAGCTTGTAGAGTCCCTAAAAATACATTTGTGCCCAGGGCAGTGATTTTGCAGCTCTGCTGATGGGAGCTTTGAGCGAGGGATCCCGCTGAACATGTCCATCAATAAGAGCAACAGCATTTGTAACATGAGGACGTGGCTTAGCTATGCACTGCCAGTCACAGTGAATGTAAACTATTCATGTCTTGAAGCATTATCTACTGCTTGCTCTGGGCTTTGTTGGGTGTCTGGGGTGCTCTCAGGGTGCCGAGGGTGGTCAAAGTTCAACAAGAGGCTCCCAGAGTCTTTCCTCTTTCAAAGACACTGGACTTTTCATGATGAGTGGCATGAGCAGGTAGGCTGTGAATGTTTAAGCAGCTATTAAGGATGATAATTTAACTCTGAGGTGGAGAGGCAATGAATTCAACCCCCATCTCAGTGTTCAGGTAAAGATTGTTCCACTCCTGGGGAAATAAACATTTACATTCTTGTGTTTGTGTGTGTTAATAGAGATTAAGCTGAATTCAAGCCTGCGTGTCAGGCAGCAATTCAGGTAGCTCATACCGTACATACCTGTTCTATTGTGTGCCTCTCAAAGGGCATCTCCCTCAGCCCTTTGAGCTTGGCTGAGGACAGTTGACATTTTCTAGGAACATTGTTATTATGGTGGCCCTGGACAGCTTCAAAAGCGACAAGCAAGGCCTAATGCCCTACCACTGTGGGCTAAGCTTCAAAGAACGTCATGTCTCTTAGTATAATAAAGGTATAGGATCAAAAGGAAGAGGAGTTGCTGACCCCATCTATCAATTATGATACAAAATTCCCCCCTCACAGAGAGTGGAAAATTGCTGTTGTGGTCATGTTAAATCAATAAAAAAAAGAAAAGTTTATTCTTAAATATAACAGAATCTAAAAACCTCAAAATAAGTTTTCTGTTACAGTTTATGATTACAGTTCATTTACTAGACTCACAAAATTAAACATATCAGGTCAGGCCAACATTTGACCCTAATTTGAACCAACGTTTAGTGTGTGGGAGGCAGTCATGTCCAAAGATACACTGCAGGCCTTCATTAAACTGCACATAAAAATATGATCCACTTCAAAACAGAGGAAACTGCTATTTTTATTGAAGCCGCCAGGGAATGACATGGGTCTCATCAAGGTAAATCAGAAACAACAGTGGATTTCAATCATATGCCAGCAAAGGCCAGGAGTATGAATGTTTCATTCCATCCAGTTGATCTCAGTTCATAAGCAGTCAAAGCTTGATTCAGATAAAACTCTTCCTGACCTTAAATGGCACATGGTTGGCAGCATGGGCGCCTAACTTGAAAGACTAATGCATTTCATACTTGTGACTAAATCTAAAGCTGCGAAAAGTAGGCACAATCCTCAACTGGTGCACAGCACACAATCATCTGCATCCATATGGTGCACACTCTAACTGCAGCCTATGCACATGATTCTGCACTGTCCACATGACGTAGCAAGTGGGGCATAAAGAACACAATTGGGTCTTTATATTCATTTCTGTCTATTTATGAGTATGTATATGTTTCAAGCCCCTAGAATGCTTTTTTTCAAAACCACAATCTTTATGAATATAAACATGAGTCAGGCTGCTGAGGTGAACAGTGTGTGCATGCCTTGTTTACATGTGTCCTGATCAAACTGCTCTATGCAAGGTCCAGTAAAAACAATAGAGCAGAATTTGAGCAGGGACAAGTAGCAAAATCAGACACAACCAGAAGTAGAAGTCTGGAACAATCGCGTTGAGTGGGAACAGATTAAAAACAGACCGTTTCTGCATGAGAACCTCAGTAAACTACAAACAACCTCACTTCACCTGGCAGCCCTGCAGGTTATTTTGTGTGAATTGCTCCGCAAACTGTGCAAATATCAGCCAGTGCAGCCTTTCATTAGGATGAAAGTATGTCCACCGTCACCCACAGCCAGAAAACCACCAAGCATCACTGAAAACTCTGCCTGTCTCTGTAGCCTATCAGCGCGTAACGGCCCGGGAGTGTGTTTCTTTAAGAATGTAAGGTGGGTGAGCCCCTTTTTTCCTGACGCACGCCTGGTATGCAAACATAAATTTAGCAGCAACGTGTTTTGCTGGGGGAACAAAATATCTGGAAGCGACCGTGAAGTGTCATGTCGTCTCCGGCAGTTCTTGGCTGACTTTTGCCTTTTTCTCTCTCTCTCTCTCTCTCTGTAAACTGGAGCCGGAGCGCAGCGCAGAGGGGAGAGCGGACCCATTTCTCCCTGAGTGACTGGGCAGACTGGGACACACGGACAGATAGAGAGCGGGCAGTCAGAGTTGTCTCTCCACACTTTGATATCACACTGAACTTATCGGCGTCAGAGATGACAGGGGGCTGTTTCTACACGACTGGACTGGTTCTTCTTGTTTGCGTGAAGGTAAGCTGCCGCGCTTTCTTCCAATTAATACAACTTTGCCAGTCATTGAGAGGAAGGCGCGTCACTTCAGCTTGGGACAGATGTGTTTGTGAAGTTGACCCACCATGAAACTGTGATTACTTCACTTACATAAACGCTGGCTTCTGTCATTTTTAACTTTTACTCAATTTATTGAGAAAGAAACGAGACACCTGTTTCTTTTAATTTGAGCTTTCCTCTGTTTCTAAAGGAAAACCCTCCCTGGTAGCCCAACAGAGACTGGGGTGCTTTGGTTTTAAGTGTTTTTTCCCCATTACATCCATATATAATTTATTACATGATTGCTTTGATGCTCCAGATTTATACAGGAGCCATAACTGGGACCTAAATAACTTGGCACCAGGAAACTCTCTGAAATAGAGCCTGACATGAAGCCATCAAATAAAGATTTAGTTAACTTTGATTGATTATGCATAAATTAATGTTATGGATTAGATGTTCAGGGCTCTTCATCACCTTCCAGTGATGCTGGAACAGGTCCAATGCAGTTGCAGTGGATGAGATTAGGAAGAGTGTGCTGTTGTCGCAAGTCTGAAGTGATTATATGTCATCGACAAGATTGAATTGATGGTAATGGACAATTTGAATATACTGGAATGCTTTGATAATCAAATAATGTGTATTTAAATAATGTCACGCAGAAATTACATAACAGCCCTGTGAAGTGGTTTTTGCCTTGCACTCACAGACCTGAAATTTAATAGATGGATCATGGGTCATCCTTTGAAAGGTCACAGCTTATCAGTCCTGCATTGAACAAACTTAAATCAGTACGCTCAGCTTGCACTAATCACCACTCGAGTGGTTTCAACATGTTATCTCCTACAGGCCTGTCATACACATGCATCACTCATGCAGGCCAAGTTGTGTAAAAGCTGACACATGCTGCATAACGGCACAGCAAGAGCTGAGCAAGAGTTTTAAGTGGAACACAAAGCAGTTGTTTGGCCTGGAGACAGACTTCAGGGCTCAAACAGAGGGGCGGGATGCCACTGTCAGCATGTGTAAATGACCACGACAGGTGCTAATAGCACTTCAAGGTGATTTGGGCTTTAGACACCCTGGCTGCCATATAGTCCAGCTGAGCACGTCCACACTGTAATCAGTGAATGTCAGTGACAGATAAGCACTTGAGGCTTTGCAATATTTCCAGGCCACTGTCCAGTGCTGGCCTGATTATGTTACAGTCTAAATATTGGGTAGAAAATCTTGCAATGGCACATTAATCGTCTTTGTATGCGTGCAAGCATCGGTGTAAAACTGCTGAGGGTCTGAAGTAGGATGTTTTAGCGTAGACTAGCCCTTAAAAATGATCCCTATTACATAATATTGAGAGCTAAATTAGATAAAAATGACATGTGAAGTGAGTCACTTGTATGTTTCAGATGTTTTCATCATGTTAGTGGTACTCAGAAGGGTGTGTGTTAACTTTCTTACATTAAGTCTGCGATGAAAGTGCATTATAAATGATTGCTCTCAACAAAATGAGCTGTTCAGTTCAGTGTCCAGAATGTTTGAGGCGTTACGCCCTCAAGCTGACTTCTGTGTTACAAGTGGCGGTGGTTTGATTATTTTGCGTCTCTGTCACACAGCGAGACTGAAAAATGACTCAGTTGGGTTTTTGCTCAAGTGGTCAAGTGATTGCCAGCACATGACAAGATTTCCCATCTGTGCAAGGAGTGACTGTGCAGCGTGAGTCAGCACTGGACATTTATCTGTTCACACACACCAGAGTGACCCACTGCTTTGCTTCAGAGACCAGGGATCAACAAGTGCTGCCTCCCGGGGTCTTTGCTATGCGCTGGCCTTTTCTTTTCATCTTCACTCTTAGGTCAAAGTCTCTGCATTACCATTTGACAAAAGAATGAGACTCTATATTTGTGTGTATGGCTGTTGGAAGTTGTGTGATATGTGTGTGTGGGCCAAATGGCCCATGGCTCCAACCCTAAATGGAATAGACCTTCCTTTGTGGGTGACATAATGACATACCTCAAGTGATTCTTGGAGGGTCTTGTTGCTCTCACTCCATTGCCTTGATTTGTGCAGCAAAGTGGAACCTTCCAGAAACATTTTTTTTTCTTCCTTTTTGCTGGATGAGGATTTGAAGGTGGCTGTGTGTGTAGGAGGCTGTACCCTTAAAAGATACCCAAGCATCTCTGAGCACCAAGGTTGGTGGTTTTTAATAATGATTTGGCAGCTGCTAGGGCTACGGAGCAAAGCAAATCCTTGTTGTTCTGTTCTTTTGGCACTTTTGCCTCTGTGCCTTTCATTGTTTGGCCCTTTTGTACTTTTTTGTAAAAGCTGAATATTTGTGTTATAAGTGTTAGAAATTTTGTATTAGTCAGTTTGTCAAATTTTGTCTTACAGATAGGGATGCATTGATCCAACTGTTGCCATACCAGTGGTCCTTTTTCAAAAATGTAAAATCTGTCTCTGTGTCAAATTTACTATTAGCTACAACAACATAGCTGCCCCATTTGCTAAAAGTTCATTGTTAAAAAGAAGATAGTTCTTGTTTCATTTACCAAGTTTGGTTAAATAAATCTGATACCAGCGTTCTACTTTTCCAAAATATATAAAATCTATAAACCTTTGTGTGCAAATAAGATGCACAAGCTAACGTGAACGAACAACCTAGCTCCTCTGTTCTGGTTGCTAACAGTTACTAAAATGTATGTTAATCCTTGTTTTCTTCTCCTCTTGTGAAGCTTGGTTAAACATAATACATTTATTTATTCTGTCCTCCTTTCAAATGAGATGACTACAAAAAGGGGAGAGAACGTTCACAAATTTTTGGTAGTGTTAGCTAGCTGAGCTAATGTTGGCTAACGTTAGCGAGTTTTACAGCAAAGGCTTGCTGCTGCTTTCACATTAAAATGTATTTATCAATAAGCAAAAGCTGGACGAGAAATATCAGTGAAAGCATAATGTGCGTTAGCTTACCACTGCAAATAAACAGAGTGAAACAAAAACTGTATTTAATGTGTTTTGATGACTTGATCGCTTAACAAGGCCTTTCTTGGCACCTACTGACAGACGCTTAAATCTTAACTAAAATATTCTTTTCCCAACAAAGTTTCAGGTGAATAAATTAGGGTAACTTTCATAATAACTGCAAATAAAACACAGCAGGCAAACAGACTTTGACAGTGATATCTCTATTGAAGCTGATGGTTATGCTCCTTTTGGGAGTTAGTGGAAAATGACATGTTTTACGGTTTTCAACATTTGATGGATATAAGTCAGCTGCCAGACTTCCTCACAGTGTTTGGCTGCCACTCTCACTTCACTACATGCCTTTCTTCTAATTACTCAGCTGGAATTCAAAAGAAAATTAGCCAAAAAACCAACAGTTTTTGATGTTTATTCAAGGAAATGGTCCCTCTCAGAGTCTTAATGCAGTCAGCAGAGTGTATTGAAGTCCTCAGGATGGGGAGGCTTGGGGGTCTAATGGCAGGATTAAGTGGGGTCACAGCGTGCAAATGGTCCCAAGTGAGCATCCGTCAACAACAACATCTCTTGTTCTGCAAAACACGCTCCCCTGCTTGATCGCTTGATCATAAAGACCACAAACTATCCAATTAGCTTTCAGGAGTGCCTTTGTTGTGGACGCAAGTGGAATGGGAAGTGAATTAATTTTGAGAGGGATTGGTCCCACTTGAGGAGTAGAGGAAAAGGCTTCAGAGAACATCTGGCCAGTGATGGATGGATGGAGCAAGTTTTTGGAGTGCGTTAACAAGACCGAGTGTTTTTAGTTACGCAGCAAAAGCCTTCATACTCATCTCATTGTTCCCATCTGGGCTTAATCTGTGGAGTGAGACTGAGGGTTGCTTAGTGTGGAAGTGCGGAAGTGTGTGTGTATGTGTGCAATGTTGCTCATAGTCCAAGGCCAAAATTCACTGGTACTCATGTTTACATAAATTGCAAAGGTACCCAAGAATTATTTCACTTTTCATGCAGTGTCCTTAATGTTCCTGGCACAGTAGCAATTTTTCCGGTGTGTCCTACTCAGGTGTGTCGGGATACAAATCTTCCAATCCTGGAAACCAAGAGAGCAGGCATTCATCCCTGTAAAGCCGGCCCAAAAGGAAGTAGCTTCACACCATTCTCAGTGGGCCAATGAAGGAAAAGTCCTGCAGAACAGAACAAGAGATGGCAGCTTCTATTGAGTGTTGAGTCCCAAAGAAGAAGTTCAGTTTCTACAGTAATTTGCAATAAACCAATAGCGAGGCTTAGGTCTCGCACTCATCTCCAATTTGTATTTTTTCTTTTACCTCATTGCAAATCCCAGCACTGCCAGTTCCTTCAGTTCAAAGAAGCCATTGTACAAATAAAAAAAAAAATCCCTAATCAGAGATTTTGCAAATGTGGCACAAATGGAGAAAGTATAAAATTAGACCTGGCTACAATTTTTCTGGGGGATGAGCATGTCTCTGGTTTTGTAATTTGTAAAAGACCATTTCCCCTTTTTTCATTATCCCAGTGATGACTTAGACTTGTTCCTATTGAAGAGGCAGATAAATGAAACTCGACAAAGTGCTTTTGTCTTTAACTTCAGAACATTATTTTTAGCTAAAGGATTAGTCATATCTCATTTGTCTAATCTGTACAAAAATCAAAGTGTAAAAATGACATGCTGTGGTATGTGCCAACACAAGGTAACCATCTGCTGCTTCATATGTCGCATACAGATATAAGAGTGGTATCGATCCACTCTAAACTCCCGCCAAGAAAGTGAATCAATGTAAGTCTGTATTGCAAACTTCCTAACATCAGGAAATGATGAGTAAACAGGCCTTGTGAACATCGAAGAAATGAAAAAGGAGAATATGGCTTTTGCTGTTTGTCCTCTCCAAAATCTTGTGGAACTTGATAGTGTTGTTTGTCTTTCAATCACTTGATGCTGAGTTCTAATAACATGCTGTGACTGACTGCCCAAAGCGGCCTGTGCCAGTAAATGG